TGGCTTCCACAGATGCCATTTTTTTATGGATTTTTTGTCAAAGCACTGAAGATATTCATTGCTATCGGATGTTAAGAGCATTCCATGGAATATAACAAAAAGTGTATCTCGACACCTTTAAATGAATGACAAAGCCACCAAACATTTTTTAATCCAAAATAATTTCCACAAAGAATAGAAACGTTTAGATTAATCTGAGTGTGTAGCAGGGTAAGCAAAAATGTTCTGGTCTTACTTTTTAAATGTTTTCAGGACTTTCATTTTTGTAGCCATTGACCTATGGCCTAACCTTTTTAAATTAATGCGATAAGGTTTTGTAAAGTCTGTCTCGGCTTTAAGTAAGCATTAATTTACCAGAAATACAACAAAAAAAACAGCAAAGCTACAACTTCTCTTATTACTAACACTATTTGGTATTTTAACAATACCAACCTTTTGCAGCACTTTTAACGGGTTTTCCTCTAAAAAAGAAGGTAAACTCAGAAAAAAAAAACGACAGACTTGGAACACTATGTTAAAGGGTAGGAGGGTAAAATGTTTTCTAATTTCCTGGGAGAATTGTGCATGCATGGTTATTACCATGTAGCTCTTTGCTTATGAGATATTTATCTTCATGTTTAAGTTACTTAAAGGAAAAGCTGAATAATACAGTATGTTTCCCTTCAACTATGAAAAAAAAAAAATCTAAAACAGTCAAATAATTGTATCCATTTCTATGACGAGGTTAAGAGAGGAGCCAATAATCAGCTTTGGGTCGGTGTATTCCTGGGCAGAGGGATGCAGGAGCCACAGGCTTCTAATCAACTTAAAGTAAATGCAGAGCAAACAGCAGGCCTGTACAGGAGCTCTGAACTTCAGCTGCTGTCTCCTCTGTTTCATGAATATGCGGACTTTCACCAACATTTACACAAATACATGTACACACACAGAGCATGTAATATAATGTAGTTATCTAATCGGTGCTTGGAGGACACCCCTGTGATTGAGTTAGATAATGATGAGTCTTTACAGAGTGTTGAAAATCACATTTTACTGTCAGTGATGAATAGCTGAATGCGCTACCGGCACTGATTCAACTAAAAACAGATCCTTTTACATAAGCTGACTTCCCTACTCTGATTTTTCTCTTTATATGTACATATCTAATGTTGATATGAACACACATAGATTTGTAGATGAGCCGTTACCTCAGCTCTTTATTCAGTTTCAATCAAGTCCATTCAGATATGTTGGATTGGAGATGGATGGGTGGTAATGAACCCCTGAGAGGGCTAAGATGATGAGAGCATAGTGCTTTCACCGGCATGAAATATGGAGCAAGGTGTTCCAGGTCGTTCATTATGTCGAGGGGCCACACAGGAGAAGGCGGCCCCCCCGAGAGGAATCATATGAAGAACTTGGAGACAGAGAGAATTTGAGGAGATGTGTTTCTACACAAAATAATAGAAAGAATAAGAAAAAGAGTGTGGGTGTAAACACTTATTATGATGAGCATGAAGGTGGGTGTGTGTGTGTGTGTGTGTGTGTGTGTGTTTCAGAGGTGGTCAGCCTTACCAGCAGTAGTCCAGAAGATGCGGGGGCAGAACAGGGATGAAGATGTGCTGCCAGTACATAGGAAAGAGCAGAGCAGCTGCACCGTGGACACATGCAGTTAACTACAGAGAGGGAGAGAAGCCAGAGGAGAAACTCAACATAACTTTACAAAGCAACACAACAAAATAAGAAAAAGGAAATACACTTCTATGTTTTATGACTACGGGTAGTTTAACATTTTTAACAGAAGGTTTGTGATTTCAGTCTCAAGGATTGCAACAAGGAAAAAATTGCAACAAGTCAAAATAACTTTGAGTCACATATACTGACATTTCGAAAACGTATCTAAAATGTTACCCTGCTAAAAACTATAACAGAATAGCAAAGACTATTCCTCGCAAACAATGTCATGTTAATATCCTGTTTTATTTATTTTCATGATAAAGATTGATGCTTTGGTGATGTTTTGTGTTGATGCGTCAATGTGCAATTTGTTTGATTTCATTGAGCATGCTTTTAATCTTGCTTAAAAACAAAAGCCCTCAGAAAATACACCGACATGTCTAGTGTTGTTGTGATGAACACACAACCTGCAAGCTATTGTTGAACAAGAGAAGAAAGAATGAAAGCTGGAGATCAACCCGTTGATGGAAGCCTTATCTTAAACTCGTGACAGCAACACAGAATAAGAGAGACAACTTGATGTGAAGGTGAACATAAAAGTGTCGAAAAAAGTGAAGAACGGCAACACGTGCTTTACACACGGAGAACATGAAACCAATGTTTCCTGCATATGGATTCATTTGTTGTGGGTCAGCACTCCAATAGTATTGCACTTGGCATTTAGACATTTAAAAACATATATATATTCAATGGCCAAACATTAGAGCAAATGCATGCCCAGTGTTCATAATGAACTGCTTTTCAATTCATTTTCAAAGTGAGAATCGTGCTGTGACCTGCCCAAACAGACCAAAGTGAGACAAAAACTGTTCTGACACTCCCCATGAAAATCTAAATTACCCCAACTACTTAGAGTAGGAAATTAAATATTTTTTAACAAATAATGAGAAGCAATCACATGAATATGGCATCCATTTTCAAAGGAGCTCTCTACATTGTCAAACCAACATTACACATAAAATTAAAGTCATTGTCTCCCATTGTCTTAAATCCGGCACCCCCTCTTGACATCCCATCTCATGAAAAGCCAGCTATAGTAATGACCTGCAACACACACACTGAGACACACAGACACGGCAGGGGGAAGAGGCGTTAGCTCATCCCCCAGATTAAAATAACATGATTAAATATGGAAAGAGAACAGAGGTCTGAGGGGCTCCTGCGGGACTTCATTAGGGCAAATTGCCAAAGAATGAAACATGAGTTAGCCAAGAGAGACTGCGGGCTAGGCCAATACCGCCGGGACCCCGGAGCAGCAGCCAGCGTTATACTGCTGCAGCTTCACAGTCAATGTGTGAAGCGGACACACACTATCACACATACACACTACCAGGAGACCCCCTGCTCACTGACACACACAATGTCACAATTGACCGGACAAAAGCGGGTGAGCTTAGCGACTGAAAGCTACCACAGCCAGAGGAGGATAAAGAGTGCCCCACCCTCTAAATCCATCCCAACATCAAGACTGGACATCTCCAAAGCTTCAAACTAAAAGTGTGTGTGTCCATGTGCGTCCCTGCATGTTTGTTTTAACTGTTTTCATTTTTCACATAGGATAGAAAAAGCAATGATTGTTTTATTTATTTATTGTTTCTGCACAATAACTCATACACCCAGTCCCACAATAGTTAGGACTTAATCAACATTTAATTGGTGTCTTGCTCTGTGTATCTGCATATGCATATTTCCGCTGCCTGCCGCCTTCAAATAAAACACAACAATGCCACGCTCCTGTCAGGATGAATTCCCTGGCAAACAGTTTGTTTTTTTGCTAATTCTGAAAATAAATCAATGCTATGAATATTAATGTCTGAAAGTGAGGCACTTGGTGGAAGAGCTACTATCAAAACCATCACACCCCTTCTCCAAAGCGAGGACAGTGAGGGGCCATTAAATTGTGATGAAGAGAGGTCAGCTATCCGGCTGTGGATATACATACACACATACGTACATGAGCCACACGCACACACTTAGCGGAGCGCCAACAGGCGAGTGTATTCCTCCTCTGGGAGTGCGAGACAAGCCCCAGCCATTCGCTGGTACCAGGAGGTAATGGCACAGAACACCTCGCTAACCAACTCCAATTATCTCCACCAGGCCTCAAGGTGAGCCCCCCAACCGGCATGATTTACTCTCAGGTTGAAAGGGAAAACAGGAGTCTCTCTCTCTGCTTCTCTTCTTCCCAGGCTGAGTTTGCTGGCTTGGGGGAGTTGGCCGAGAGGGGAGAGGGGTTACTGAAACTAAGATAATGATTTATAAAGCAAATCTAGATTTCTGTTTTCCCTTTTATATGCTATCTCTAAAGCAATGGAGGTGGCAGTGTGCCTGAGATAAGAACATTTGGAGAGAACTCCAGAGGAATACTTCACATATTTGCTTCTCTAATTCAGCTTAATACAAATCCTTTCGTCCTTGTTAAGGTTTTAGAACGAACGAGGAAAAAAAGTAAAAGGAAGATAAATTGGAAAAAAGAGAAATCGCACCTTTTTTTCCCTTCATTTAGAGGGGGGTCTTCACATGAGAGTGGGTCATGAGAGGCTAAGGCTGATAAAATATTTGCCAGGCTGATAAATAATAGATGAGTGGAGCCAAATGGCTTACACGCTCCACAAAAGACCTGGGTGCTTAATATTCCATTCAATGGAGAATCACAGATACAGTCCCCAAGAACAAATACAGGATTAGGTGCTGGGTCCAGTCCTCAGGGACCAGGGCTCTGCCCGGTAATGAGGGGCTGCCTGCCTCTTACACTGTGTGTGTGTGTGTGTGTGTGTGTGTGTGTGTGTGTGTGTGTGTGTGTGTGTGTGCGCGCATTCCCCCTTCCTGAGAAAAGCTAACCGATTATACAGCGACAGCCTGCTTCAAAAAGCAGTCAAGGTCTTTGGTTCTGCCCTGAGAGCTTTTTAGCGCCCTGCAGCCGAGACACAGAGTGTCCACACTAACACTGGTTTCCCAAGATCCATTCCACGCGACTAAAGAAACGAGAGACAGCGAGAGAGAGACCTAAAGAGATGGAGAAGAGGAGGTGAAAGTAAGAGAAGAAAAGAGAGTTGTGAAAAAGAAACACAATAAGCTTTGACATTTTTAAGTACTTAGCAATGCACCTAAGATAAGTGGTCACGCACACTTTCTGTTATTAATGGGGTGTGAGACAATTGCCTTGTCCCCTTTCAAACTACATAATAGTAGTTTAAAGTAAGTACTACTAAATGTTTTACTTTATTATACGGTATTTGCAGATGGTTTACATAATTCAATTGTTCTATCAAGAACAGTGTTAATGATATCAATCAAGCAGCAACGTTGTAATGTCTCAAATAAGCATTCAAATGTTTATAAAGAAATTAATAGTTGTGTTTTCTTTCTGCTGTGTTCACAAAACTGTTTTACAACCATTTCAAATGGGTTTTAACACTTTCCAGCTGTAAGCAGCCCCCATTTCTATTGTGCATTGCATTGTAGGACAATATTGTCCATTACGATCACACTGTAAAATCAAACGTATGTACGCTTACTGAATGAACTGTGTGACTTTTGTACACCACAAACTTCACAGTACAATCTAGTTAGTATGTAATAAGGATTCAGCCAGTTATTCTTTTTCTGCACGAAATAAACAAAGAAGCTGAATTATGACACATATATTCAAAAAACAAAAATGTTAACCACATATGGATCCCAAACTCTTCTGACGGCTCTCCTTGTTCATGCATCATCATATTAAGATAAGCTCGCCTCTCGAGCTGCTTGAAGAGCTACACAACTCTTCAACAGTGATGTGTCCTTAAAGACGCACCATAGAACTCAGATCTTCGAAACACTGCAACTCAGAGCTCTGCGGCCTCCTTCAGTGAGCAGTGTGTTTCCACTCGCACCATTCCTCTTTACCTGAACAACTGGGCACGTTGAAGTGAAACACTGACAGAACACACAGAAACTGCTGTCGATACACTTCTTTCGCATTCTATTCATATTCAACGGCAGTGTAATGGAGATTTTAAGGGATTGAGCACACAACAACACACATTACCTCTGCTTGCATACTCTTAGATGAGGGAACCCATTGCACTTTTTAAATTACGGCAAGAGCAGGGTGTGAGACAAATAGCTGCTGCAGGAAATGTAATTCAATTTGACGGGATTAATGGTATCAACAGAGTTGCTCTTGACCTCTTCACACCAGCCTCAAACACTCATTCCCCCTCCACTCGCCTTTCCTTCCAACTCTGTCCTTACACACTTTCCAAATCCAATCCTCTCTTCTCCTTGCTCAGCCTCATTTCCATCCAAGTTCTTCATTTCTTATTCGGTTTTCCCTCCTCTCATCCTGCTGTCCTTCTGTCCGTTGCAACCTCTCCTTCGTTCCTTCCAGTTGGTTTATCCTCTCCCCTCCCCTGCACAGAGTAAGTCACCAATTACCCGCGCTCTGCTTCTCCCTCTGTTGACAAACGCTGGTGTCAGGCAGGTGTGCCACAAACAAGTAGGTGGCACAGGGAGAGAGAGAGAGAGGGCACACAGGACGACACAGGTAACAGCTAACGCCAGGCCTCCCACACAGGAAGACACCAGACATAAGGTACAAACACCTGTGAGCTCAGAAGACACACAAACAGATGCATGTAAAAGAGACACAAACACCCACAAAGTGCACATATGCACATACTCGTTCACAGCGGCACAAGTCAGACACATGGCACGGGGCTGAGATGAGTCTATTGAGGGGAACATGTCCCGATGTTCTGCAGATTCCAAAAAACACAGAGACGCATTAAGACACCAGGGAAGAGGGATGCGAATTCAGAGAGAAAGAGAGGTGTAGCCAGGCTGAGTGAGAGACAGATGGACAGAAAATAGTGTGTCAGCTAGGAAGAATAACTAAAGATGGAGAGAAAGTAAGGAAGCAGAGAGGAGTCAGGGAAGGAGAGGAGGAGAAGAACAGAGGAAAAGGCAGGAAACAGAGAGACAGCTGGCACTCTAGGGCATGGTGGATGGATAGTTCCTTGTTAGCATAGGCCTGACAGGCTGATGAGAGGGCTGCTGTCAGCCGGGCCAGGCTCTCTGAGTTCGGGCGATATACAGGGCAGAGGATGGGCTCGAGAGCTGGGGGGCCTCGGCAGATGAAAGACACGGAGGGTGGTGGGCCGATGGTGGTGGGGGTCCTCCCAACTGACTAGTTAGAGGAAGGGCCGCTGCAGCCCTATTATACGGCCCTATGACAAGGCTGCACGCTCGGCTGGCTCCCGCCCCTGCGCCACCGCCGACCAGCCTTTAAAACAGTGGTACCATTCACCTCCGGTCACGAAACAGCAATAAGTCAACTGACGCATTGTTGTAAGATCATGATTTATTCCTTTGCTGTTGGCTGCTTGCGAGACGCGCCGCCATGTACCGGCAGACTGACACGCTGGGTTCACCGGGGGCTTTAACACAGGCAGCACCTAGAGCAGGCAGAATAAATGCAGGATATCTCTGTGTGTGCGTGTCTTTCTCTCTCTTTCCACTTTCTATTCCGTTTCTCTTTGCTCGGCTGAGAGGCTGGACAGGCGGAGGTGGTGAAAAGCAGCTGGATGGTACTAACGATGTTACTAACAATACCTTCTCACATAAATCCTCTATCTGTGCAAAGCAACTATAGAAATATTACCTGCTCACCCAGTGACTGCTGACACTGACTTCAACACACACGTTGACAAACTCTGATGTTAAATATATATTTTGCAGCATTTAAGGTATTTGATCACAGGATAGTGGTGTGGCATGCAGCTAAGCATGTATACATACGGGGAGATGTCTTACAGAATTGTAGCAGCCATTTCCACTTGGAGGTCATTCGACCCAACAGCAAAAAATAACGCATCACAGGAGCAGTAATAACATCAGGCCTGCTAGTAATCCCAGTGGAGATGTGAAAATACCTTTGTACTACAGTGCCTGACATATATTGCTACAAAACCAAAACACTGCTCCCTGAGGAAGATGGATAGACAGATGAGTGGATGAAGGCTTGCCGAGGATGAAAGCGTTACAGAGGTAAAGGTCTGACGTGGAAGCTCTTAAAAAATCCTGTCGACATAAATTTGTTAAAAAAACAAGTCAAGATTAGTCTCGGAGCAGCAGAAAACTGTAAATCACAGACAAATATCACCTCCACCCCCTTTTCCTGCTAAAAAGAAAAAAAACTTTCACCCTTGAGTCTGATAATTTACATGGTGTAACCCTGGTGTCACAGCGCAGTGTGCAGCCCGACTCACTGCTGGTCCGAGGTGCTGAGGGGAGACAGGTGATATTCTCTGAGGGCTGGGTAATTTTTACAGCTCTTTCTGATTATAGCTCCTATGGGAGACCATGGGAACCGTTCCCTCCAGCACCCATCACCACCCACAGGCCCCTCCGGCTGTTCAGTGTTCTGCAGCCTCGTAGATACCGAGGCAGGACGGGCTACACCGCCGATACAGATCGTACTTGGGTGACATCACTTCCCTCTCCCCTCTCATCTGTCATAAACATTTGGCTCTGCCTCGTCAGACACATAGATAACGGGGGGAGGTTGGAATGAGGAACGTAGGGCGGGAAAGAGGGAGAAAGACACAGAGAGATTTCCTCCCACGTACAGACAGAAGGGACTTTAAATTATGTTATAGAGCTCAGGCGTGTAATAAGGGATAATTTAAGGCTTTTCGGACATTAATATGTTGCAGTTATAAAACAAAAAGTCAAATATAATCCAGCTTTAGTGGGGATTTCACAGCTTGTCAGAGCGCGATAGTGCGGCTGTCTGACTGCAGGATGCCTGGGCAAAGAGGCGGGCGGGGGGGCAGACATATCAGCCTAACTTTCTCTGTACAAGTAGCTTAGCCATGTCAGAGAAATATCCTCATCGCACTAATTAGGGCGTGATATCCTGCTGGATTATTGATGAAGAGATTCATGTTCAATCTAGGATTCAGTCCTTACATTTGAGATATATACTTTTTCAAGAGGGCAAATTGGTATCTGGATTTGACTTGAAGCAAAAAATAGCAACTGTGACTCTATGACTGTGAATGGTAAACATGCTATTATAATATGATGTGATTTCTGATAAGAATATATACTATTATTTGTATTTGTATCTACCGTGTTTCACTGAGCTATGGAATATTATTTTTGTACATAATATTGATGTTTTGTTATTGTATTGTTCATTATACTGTGCAATAAGTTCAGGAATCTAGAAGAATGAAACTTTAAAAGACTGAAAACACAAAAAAAGTTCAGCGCAATTGAGTAAAATGTTCAAGGAACTCCTGTGCCTGCAGTACATGAACTATTTTCTAAAATACTTTCACCTTGTGCCTGTCAGGGCAGGGCTGAGATGCAGCTGAGAGAAGGACCTGGAAGGAATGGACTCACAGTGCTAAGCTTGCTTGAGGTAATGATGATGCGCCGTTCATGCAGCATACTGGCGTAGAGCTGGAGCATGTTGGTGACGTCCACAGCCACAAAGTACTCAGTCAGGTTCCTCTGGAGATAGACAGGAACAGAAGGATATTCAGGTACATCACAAACTGCCCTTGCTTACAGTAAAGTGTCAATGCTGCAGACGGTGAGTGCCAGAGAAAAGACAGACAGGCAGTAAAGGGACTTCTGTTCATTGTGTTTTGCAGTAAAACATAAATTAATAAGATATACAGATTCAAACCATTTCATATAGTATGTTTGGGAAATAGCTTTAATCTCTGCTTGAATTGTTCATAAAACTGTTTTAAGGTGGCCCTCGTCATAAAGACTTCAATGCTAGAGCTACAATTTGAATACCAATTCAAAAGAAGGAGAGAACTTTGGCATTAAAAGTGCAAGCACCACAGGAGATGAAACAGAACAAGAGGATGATGCAAACATTTCAATAGGTGACAAGTGTTTCTGATTAAGAATAATTAGAGACAGAAATGTTTCCAGAATAAAGGGACCCTCTATTAATCTCCTCGTGTCTCTTTTCTTTTCCATGAATACTTACGCTCTCAGGGATAGTTGGCAGTCCATTGATATCCGGGGCGATGAAGTAGGAGTGCTGCGAAAACACAAACATGCAGAAGAAAGAAGAGGGAAGGTCACATGTGAAGCATACCACTCACACAGAAGATAATAAGAGGAAGGGGGGGGAAGGCCAATCACTTTGTTCTATGATTTATGGCTTATCTTCAGCTCTGTCTATATGAATTGCTGAGCTGGTGTCTGAACTGTTGCAATGCTTTTATCAGGCCTACAGAACAGAGAAAGCTCAATAGCAGCTCAGCTCCCCATAGACGCAGGCTGGGATGATGTCTCCGGTGGAAAACTGAGTCTTTATTTAAGCATTAAAAAGGCTAGCAGAGCACACAGTATACGTACACAGGTGCGCATGTGCATATCCACACACACACACACACACACACACACACACACACACACACACACACACACACACACACACACACACACTGTTTAGAGGATCACACAGGGCTGCCTGTCTCACTTTGGGAGAGCAGGGCAGGTTCAGTGTTTAGATCAAAGGGGCCTGAGAGAGGTGGTGTTTGGAGACAGGTAGACAAAGCACCAACTGAAACACACTATTGTGTTTCTCTAACACACTCTCCGGTGTCCTCCTTAGTACACCTGCGTTTCTCCAGGCCTTCACTAGACCATCTGTTGCAGGTTTTTGCTTAAAACCAATGCAGTGTCTACAGTAAACACACATACATTATGTTTAGTATTCTACGACTCAAGTGTTTCAACGTGAATATTATTTACTTGTTATTATTATTGTTATTATTATTATTATTATTATTTACTTGTTATGCAAATCAGCATGCTCTCAGGCATCTGAGGTGATTGAGTATTTCTTTGATTTGTGGCCCTTGTGTCAGGAAGAATGGCATCAAACACCTGAGAGTTGCAAAACGGAATTGCATTTATGACCCAAGACTGATTAGTATACATTATGCACTTTATATTTAGAGATAAAATAATAAATAGATATATAGGAAAAAACTCCTGCTAAATTAATTCCATAAAAAAAGGTCAACTTGAGAGTAGTACATCAGAAAACAAACAAGATTATTGAGAGTTTGCAAACACAATTGGAGTCATGCAACAATCAGCAACCCCACCGAAGGTATCACCACAAAGATGCTCTGATGATAGAGACAGAAGAGAACATAAGAAACAAAACCCGTCACAGTCAGACAGTAAAGATATGGAATTGAGAGAATCAACAACAATGGAAAGATATCAGCTAAATACGCAGAGTCGTGTATGTTTGACTTGACCCCTTACCCATGACATTATTTGGCAAATGTTAGTAAGCATTTTAGTATTCAAAGTGCTGCTGGAAAAAAATGTTACAGTGCCGGAGATTAAATATTCTACTCAACATTCTGTATCTTTACAGCAGTTGGTGAACCAGTTACCAGCAGTACAAATAATTATTAAGTCTCACCATTTGAGCAAATAACCTTAAAGTAACAACAAATAGTAAGGGGGAAAAAAGAAATGGCGGCACCATATTGATCATTTGTTTAATGTAAAACAAACTCAAATGTTTCCAGTCCACGTCAAGTGCATTAAGTGTGAAAAACGTGAAAACTATTATCATGAGTAAACGATTGTCATATTCCCAGAGGAGGGTCATTGTTGGAGCGACGCTCAGAGGAGTTAAATACACAACACAACAAACACTCAAGCCGAACAGGACCTAGAGCGTTGCCTTTTAAGGTTTTTATTCTAATGGGCAAAATATTTTGTATCTGAGCCGAAGCAACTCCTACGCCTTCTTCTTTATGTCTACAGTAAGTGCATTTGTTTCAATAATACAGTTAATCCAGCCATAGTTTAAGTTGTTTTGCAAAGCTACCAGTTCAACTAAATAAGACCTTTATTATTGACATGACAGTTAAAGACGTCTTTGCATTAATGTAAAGCATGAACAGCATGCTGTAAATAATGTGTTCAACAAAAGGCTCTCTTCCGAAGTTTAGTTTTCCCAGCAGCTTCCCAAACTTTTTAAACAGAAGCCAACCAGATGTTGTTTTAAGGTGTGCTTTTTGCCAATAAGCAAGATGAGAAAAAAAAGCCGTATTTGTTTTAATAAAGTTAAACTGAGGAAAATTCCTGCCTCCTTTATGAAGCTCTGCCCTTGTTCAAGTGCTGTAAAAGGGACATTTTAATGGCACTCGAAGGACTTCTTAGTACTTAAAATCATTATAAGAAGACAGCAGATAATAAAATATAGATTTGAATAACTGCTGTTCCTATCACAACTCATCCCACCTGTGTAACTCTCATTCTCACACTGGTTGGTAAGAGGGAATTTGGTGCCCCGTTCGGTTGTAAGAAACTTAATTTGCTAACATTGCCTATAATTTGTCAGCTGTCCGACACGTGGATTAGCTTTCTTTGCTTCTATGTCGTCTATTGTAACTAAACAAACGGCTTAAGACGGTGTATCTGTGGCACAGCAAAACCCCCAGAAACACATGCAGTGAAACATTACACTGTGTTTCTCCGTCTTTCTTTTTCTGTGCTAAATAATGTTTCCCTGTTGGTCTACACATTCATGGCACTGTGATAATCACAAGCCATGCTCCACGACTCAACCCAGGCTTTCATTGGCTGTTTGCTTGCTTATCTGCTTTTTTCTCATTCTTTCGAAGACATGTTTATATAAAAACATTGAAAGTGGGTTAACTGGAAAGGCATCAAGGAGATTTTTTTAGCACAATTGCGTTTGCTTTAAACATAAATAGGGGGGAAAAACTTTTGATATTCAGAGAGAGAATATACAGTAGCAGTGTGGAATGGCATTAATCATTTACAAAGTTTGATTGTTTTCCAGAGGAGAAGAAACACACACCAAGGCCCAGGATAGTTTGTTTTTGTTATATTTAAAAAGATAGCCTGGCTTATTTGGCCAAATTGGAAAGCCGTTGCTCCCATGCGATTAGTACAGCAGCGGTTTCATATTTCACAGCAGCCTCCTTCCCTCCTCCCGTTTCTGCCCCCCACTCACCGGCTCCCTGCTTCGCCGATCTCTCAGTACTTGCCCAGTGGCGATATACAACTGCTCATTCTTGCACAATGAGAGAGAGAGATAGAGAACAAAACAGGGTTCACACATGAAAGGGGACAATGATCCTTCTTCTTGGCTGCCATGATAAAACAAAAAACACTCTTTAAGGGAATAATTCTGCTTCATCAATTAAATATCAAACTAGTGGCTTCTGCCAGCAAAGACATGGAGCCATCACCTCTGTTCTCCGGGGCTTCTTTCCCAATAAAGCTCCGAGACGCAGATGAAAAGATTCTATGCATATATACAGCTGATAAAAAAAATACTGACAGAGGAAATAAATCATAAGGAATCTTAATTGACCTTGTTAATCTTTATAGAGATGTATTGATTACCTTATATTAGTCTGGTTATTTCTTATTTATTTATCTGTGTAATTAGATGCATAGTCTTCTGGGACCTTTGCCGCAACAACAAAAAAATCAGTGTTGCTTTTTTTAATTGGTCCAAAAAAAATTAAAAAGGAGCGGAGGTCCTTAAGGACAAAAGGCTCACACTGAAACTCTTTTGATCCCATTATTATGTGGAGTCCAAGCAACAAGATAATAAAGATGTTGGTGAAGAAACATGATGAGTTCTAATTATAAAGGCCAGGAGTATGTGAGCGAACAGTGATAGGGAGAAAGTATTTGATGTATGAGCTGGAAACACACGAGGAGAGATTGTGTCAGAGTTAAGACAAACACTGGCTGACTTTGAGGGACCTGTGCTCATTAAGCCGTTTTACTTTTTGATAAGCAGGAGACATGGAGAGTTGTGAAGGACCCTTCCAGTTCAAACATGTCCAGCTCGGGCTTATCACACAGAAACCTGTTCGCGCCACTTCTTGTTTCCAAACAGAGTGTCAGTCCTGGGCCCTTTCTGTCTCTCTGTTGTTACCCATTGTATCTTCACCTCCTCCTGCTATCTTTTCTGTCTGCTCTGTCCATCACTCTGTCCATTTCAACCTCTATGCTTCGTCTATCTCTCCCTGTTGCTTGTTCCTTGTCTGTTTCTATGTCATCTTTGACTCTCCTCATTGTGTCAAATCCTCTTTTTTTCTCATTATTCCTCACTTTGTTTCCACTTATTGTCTAGTATAATTGTTGCTCTACTTTTGTCTTTTATATTTCTTGTTTTCTGCAGCCTCTTTCCTGATTCAACACGCTGCTACAGTGCCTGTCCCACTCTCCCTTTTTTTACCTCTTGTCTCAGCTGTCTTGCCTCTGATAAGGGGGGGGGGGTTACGAGATCTGTACCTACCACACTCAGGTTGACTGGCGTGAAGGGCTTTGGCACTGGCAGATCATAGAGAGAATTCAGCATGTCATTCAAGTCATTTTCCTGGGGGAGAGAAAATAAACAACAAAGGAAAAGAAAAAACATTAAAACATAGGGCACATGAATTTTATTTACTTGTTTTGTTGATGTCACGAGTTATGTGTCAATCTTAACAACAGTGCTGGGACAGGCGCTGCTGCAGACCAGAGGGCAATCCTGCAGCGTGGCCTGGAGGGCTCCAAAACTTCCGACTGACATGTGTTTAACGAGCAATGGTGAGGTTAAAAGACGGCTGAGCGTAGGGCTGCAGACGCTTATTACCCGGCAGCGTTGATTTACGGCCGTGAACGGGCTGTCTGTAATTAAGCCGGGGTCCCCGCTCCAAAGACAAGGGCTTTAAGAAGCCGTCAGAGAGCTGGCTTGACCACATAACAGGCCCTTGGATTATTCTTCCAGCATTTATGAGCTCTACAACAAGATTGCTATTTACACTCGGCTCGACAACTGAGCAAACAACAGCTTGCAACTTGTACTTAAACTAACTACTGTGAACACAGAGGTTACGCACTTCAGTTTGCTTTAGAGTCTTTTTTCTATTCGCCCTCTCAGAGAACTTTGTTTTGGTTTTGGCTACGAATCGTTGCTTGTTGGAGGAAACGTGCACATGTGGGTATGTGCGCGCCAGAAGGAAATAGAAACTTGAGAGGAATGGGCGGACATATACAGTAAGAGAAGGAGAATGGGGGGAGGGAGGGAGGGGTGTTTGAGGGTGTGTGCGATCGAACAGCCTCCTGTCATGAGAGGCTCAATGCTCACACGCATGGTCAGCAACACGGCCTGGGGAAACAGTTCATTTACCCCTCGCCTTAAACCCTCATCGCTCTTCTGTCTTCCCTCGTCTGTCAACATCTCCCTCTCGTCTGGAACGGACAGCGGGGTAAATAGAAACCAAATCATGCACACTAACACTTCAGTCACCCAGGATTTGCAGCAAGCTCTCTCTCTCTTCCTTATCCACAAGCTGGTCTATTTTATTTGTCTGTCTCTTTCCACATTAGAATATCCTGCCCCTTAATCACTTAAATGTGTGTGCATGTTGAATGTTTATGTGATATGTTTGCGATTGTCTTCTATAGCGGGCCTCTCTGTCCTGATCATTGCTCTCTAAGGGTCTTGGAAGCAGCAGTGACTACATGACAATTGAAAGCGGTCCCAAAGCTCTCTGCATCTCCTCCCCCCCCCCCTCCCTCTGCTTCTCTCTTCAGTCTAAACATGGGAACATCACCTACACCCTCTGAGCTAGACGCTGCACATCTCCCCAGTTTGTTGCATATTTTACATTTTTCCTCCCTTTGCTAGTACAATGCAGTGAATAGTCAGGGGAAAAGACTTTTGTGAAGTGTGAGCATTTGTGTGTGTGTGTGTGTGTCTTTCCATTTCTTTCTTAACGATTTGTTTTCCAGTAAATCATCAGGAATAACTTCCAGTGTCAGATCAGCGTTTGGTCTGTGAAATGTCAACATTGTTGCCGCTAACAACAGGAGCCAAGTCGAGCCCCAAGACGGCGAACAAAACTCGCACACAAAAGACAACATGCAGAAGAAGAACAGAATGGAGGGAAATATCTTACCACAGTACAGTTTCGAAAACACTAAACTGTGTACTTGTTGCTCACTCAAATCAAAACCACCATATCTTATTTCTCATGTGCTTACACCACATCATACATACAATTATAAATACATCCAGCAGATATGATTACCTGCTGTTTTGTTAGGTAGTCCGCCAGCGTATTCAGCAACTTGTAGTAGATTTCAAACCATGGTACATAGCTGCAAGAGTCAGAGAGACAGATTATTTATTAACAACATTGAAATCATGTTATCATCTCTTTTAATAAACAGACACCATGTGATTCAGTGTTTGCGTTTATGTTGAAATAAAAAACAAAAGAGTCTCCTGCAAAAACAAATCAGTGCGTTGCAACTCATTCTTCGCATATAACGTGTCTATAAATAATTTCACTATCTGCTGGACAGTAAAAATGTAAACAGCATTGAGTTTGTTGTGGATAGGTTTGCCCTACTACCGCGTGTATGTCCTGACTATTGTGAGTGACCTACAACTGAAAGATCAGGTGCACACGGCACATTGATAATGAATTGTGTTCCCAGCTACTCAAAAGCACAGAGCTGGACAACAGGGGAAAAAAGTAAATGCTATCCAGTCCTTATTATGACATTCTTTGTACCCAGGGTCCTCCGCATGCTAAGGATTCCTGTCATGTATGCCCTTTAAGCCAATAGCAAAAGAAAGTAGATGAAAAAAAAAACAATGGAATTGATATTCTTTATAAAAAAACAACAACATAGTTATCATGTCATGCGGAGAGATGCTATGGTTTACAAGCATGCTGCTCACAGATGCACAGGCTTAACAAAAATGCAGCCCAAGATGCCTCCTGCCCCCCTCCTCCTCTCACTGCTGCTTTTTTTTTATGCCCTTTGCATTTAAAAAAAATTGCCTTATGGAATTAATGTAATATAAATAAATTCATTAACAAGCTCAAAATAATTTATACTGCCGTGTTTGTGTTAAAGCTAATCGCTGAGTACACCCACCATAAGCTAAAAGCATCTGCAGCATGGCTTTCTTTACAGAGTTGACATATTCTTGGCCAAGTCGGGTTGCTTTCTATGTGGAAGAAGGCCAACATTTTTCTTTCGGCATAAAAGCTGCGAGGGCTCATTTAATGTTATGCAATCAAATAATAAAAACATGGTTTCCTATCAATGTATTGAATTTTGACTTAGTTTGGGGGGTTTAAAATGCACTTCTGAAAATTGCATGAATAATGATTATAGATGAGGATTTTTTAACATTATCATTAAATAAACAGCAACCCATTAATGCTTCATTAGCTTGCCTGGATGCAGGGGTTGAAGAAACAAAGTATTTGGAAAATGAGCCAACCAATCAAAGGAGTTGTTTGCTCACCAAAATCAGCGAGTTGTTCTCAATGTCAAAGGGTGAAAATGATGTTAAATACAATTCATTATGACGATAATTTAATACAAATAAAAACTCTGACAAAGAGCTTAAATCTGCAGTTTCATATGTATAATAAATGATGTATTTGTGAGGGGGAAGCTTGCGTTGTGTGAGTTTCTAAGCCAGTGAAGTCCTGCTCACGCAGTTGGCTGGAGACTGAGCAGTTTCCAGGGCATGGGTCACTGGCTGCTCTGTAGACTGGAATTAACACACAACAAGAAAACAATAAAGTGAACCGAATGCAAATGTTCATATCGCTAAATCCGCGAGGGGCCAATGGCAGGCCAGGTTCCTGGAAAAGTGCAGCCAAGCGCACCAATCAGAGAGGCTGAGTGACCATTAGCCTGAAACAATCAGCCTCTTAACATGCCAATATTTTGACGTCTGTGTGAAGATTTTCCGCAATCAGGTCAAATTCGCAGGAGCGACTAAATCAAACACGCGTATGTTAATTCACATGCTGACCGGATATCAACCTGAAGACCTATTTCTGCCACGTCAAACAACATATTACACAAATATCTACATACGGGTTCAGTATACATTTAGCAATTACACAAAAAAGTTCAGCCTGATGTTATGAATAGGGGGGGGGGTTGAGCCTTTGTATTATCTGACCCCAGTACGATTGTTTAAAAAGCCAGGCTTCTGGACATTAATCCTCCATTCCTCACAGTTGAAGGGGATGTAAATAGGACTCTCGCTGTCAGAGCAGCCGTCAGGCCTCACAGATCTCACAGTCATTAAACCCCTACACCAAAGTGCTGGAAATCCTTTGTTTTAAAGGAAAATGCATAATCACTGGTGCAGGCAGCACAAATTATCAATATTCCTCTAACGTCTTCCCAAAATAGGCATTTGGGTTTTTATGCTTTCTTCAAATGTAATAGGATGAATATAATGTTAAGACGTATTGTTGTGTTCTACTTATCCTCCCCCCACCCCTACTCTGCTCTCTCTGTTGATGCAAAGTTAAAGTTTGGAAAGCTTAAAGAGATACTCCTACTCGCCACAGTTCATTGCTCAGATCTGTTTGTGCTTCGCAAATCCTCCGATAGAGAGCGAGGCATCCATCACAGGAGTGCTCAGTGTGTGGGGGCCCCGCAATCTCTCCTGCCATTTTAAACACATGTCTTCTCAAAGTGCCATGTACTCAGAGAATGAACCAGTTAATCTGCGGTCCACTCACAGCCCGTAGTGCTCTTTATCCCCGGCTCAGACTACCTAACGGCACGGAGATATCTGACAGAAGACAGGGACACAGAGGTGCCATTGGGAGTTAAAATTATGCTATTATAGACAGGAGACGACACACAAATCTAGCTGAAACCAGACGTTTTAATATAGTTTTAACGAGCATATTATATATATATATATATATATATATCCAAAGAAAAATGTAGTTGAAATAGAAAATAAAAACACCAAAAAAAATGTGATATTTATTTTATTCATTACACCTCTCTGTTTGATTGGCTCCTAATATCATATAACTTTTATTAGCCCTTCTTGCAGCCATAAAGTACCTGTTGGGTGCTAAGTAAAACACTTATTCCTGTTCCTTAGATGAGTCTTAAATCTCCTTTAGTGCAGTCACCTGTAATCGTAAGTCATCTTACTCTTTGTAGAAAGCACAGTGGAAGATTTCATTACACCTTTACTTTCACGGGTTAAGGGTTAAGTACAGGGAAGGAAGTGTCCTCCGGCGATCCTATGTGACCAAAAACTGAGGCAACGCAGTCCATAAAGTGTTTCTGAAGCGGCAGCCGTTAAAAAAAAAACTGAGGAAACACACATTCTTCTTTCCGAAATTACTCGCATTTCAACAGAAATTCCTACAAATGTGAGGGACAAAGATTTAGGGAAGATTGGGGAGTAACACTATAAAATGGTACAAGTTTTAATTAGCGTTTTTCGCCTCTTGTTTTGTTTAAAGTTTGCCTGAAGGGAGCGCGGCCCTTTCGACCACGGCTTTAGCAGTCCGACTACAAAGGGCTGTCCACATAAAACTGTCCTGCTCATTAAGGCACTTCCTCCTGTAAGCTGAGGTGACAATTTTACGGTCCCAGCACTTCAACAATCACTGAGACGCAAACTGTTTTAATTACCTTTATCCTATATCCATGGGAAGTGATAGATTAAATCAAAAATTAACTAGTGGGCCTTGGCCTTCCTGCTTTACATTTCACAAAGCGCATTTTATCTGATAATTCTTTAAGATTAGCCATTTACAAGATCTGCATTTTCTTCCCCTTTTTCTTTGGTTATTATTCTTTCTTAACACAAATCAATCTTAATGTATCACTTAACTAATATGGCAAAATGAAAACACTGTTTAAAGAAAAATATTTGTCATGCTTTAGAATATTTTCACTTGTTCTATCTATGCTAAGAAAATAAAAAAAGATCATAACCCAAAAAAGGAAGCACACAAACAATTTAAATTAACGATAAAAAAAACAACTTTCTATACGTTGTCTTATTAAAAATGAAGCAAGCCATGCAAACTACTCAAAATGCATAATGAATTTTATACATCATATGTCAAATGAATTAGCATGTCTAACTCAGCGAGAGGGACAGGGGAACCTCTGCTAATTGGCAGTGAAGCTTCATGCATAATTATGGGCCAAGCGTCTTTGCTGTCGCGCTGTGGCAGTAGCCGAATAACGAGGAGAAAAGAGAGAGAGAGGGAGAGAGGGAGCAAGAGATACGGAGGGAGAGAAAGAGAGAGAAAGGAGAAGAAAAACAAAGGCCACGGAAGCTGGCCGGGGAGGGTGGGTGGTGAGGGAGGAGGGACACTGTTCTTCACAGCAGCTCATCAGGGCAGCGACAAACCCACGACTGTCCATCAACAGCAACACGCACAGCGCACACACACACACACATAGACCAACACACACACACACATAGACCAACACACACACACACACACACACACACACACACACACTCAGGCGATAGCAGCACTTACACAATGCTACCTTACACCAACAGAGAAAAAGAAAAGGCTTTGTGCTCCATTTCCAGTTTGTTGTTTGTTTAACTGCTTAATACATTCATTAAAAATTGATTTATATTGTATATTTTCCTCAGTTTATTCTAAAGTGCATAAGCCTGTCCACTGAGATTAACACTGGAATGCTCCTTCTTTGTAACGTTAAGGTAATTACATCTGTAAAAATATTGTGTCAACATGCAATTACATGGGAATTAAATGATAATAGCCTTTGTTGCAGAGTAATTATGCAAAGAAATGCAATTTTCCATGAGTTTGGTATCCTCATTTACGTACGCTGTGATAAGATGAATCCACCTATGAAATATCAAAAACTGCTAAATTTCTGGATAATTATAGGCACATCACTAACATATTTGTGTGGGCAGATGAGAATATAAATGTGTTATTCTGGCATAGTGCAGCTCAGTGTGAAGTGTGAGAATGAATAGAAATGCTGTCTAAAAAAATCAGTTTGCCTTTCTAAGATCTAGTAAATTAATTTTTGTTCATCAAACTTGAGAAATAAATGCAGCCCTACAGTATATACAGTATATATATATATATATATATATATATATATATATATATATAGCTCTGAGACCTATCCATAGATTATCTTTTTTTTAAAAGGGCAAAACAACTCTTGGTTATTTGAATGGGAAAACAAAGGCACTGGTGTTTGAAAAGGTCTTTTTCCTCACATTCTCATGATTCAGATTTTTAAATATGAAAGGCTGACTTTTATATGTTTGGACTTGTAAAGTGCAGTATAACTTCTAGAACATCCAGTTATCTATTGACATTATTTATGGGAATTGGATGTATTTGTTCTTGTAAAAAAATACAAATGGTATGAAACCTAGTGTTAAAGATTGTCGTACAGTAAGCAGTAAGTTCATTAGGACAACAAGAACAAAATACAAGACAGAAATAAAACAAATGAAATAGACACGTACAGTATCTTGGAGTATTAAAAGCAAAACAAGAATTAGTGAGCATGTGAACGTGCATGTGTGCGCGTGCATGGTGTGTGTGTGTGTGTGTGTGTGTGTGTGTGTGTGTGTGTGTGTGTGTGTGTGTGTGTGTGTGTGTGTGTGTGTGTGTGTGTGTGTGTGTGTGTGTGTTACCTGAGCAGGCATATGCAGACCCGGCAGCCTTGAGTGAGTCGGCAGAAACCAAACCTCTGCTTGCCGTCGATGTCCGTCAGCACAAAGGTGAAGTTCTGCCCCACCTGATTCTGGGAGACCCTGGGGCCAGACACAGGGGACACATACTCACACAGGGCCAACACCATAATGACTCAACAATCAACTGAATACAATTGGGTGCAGTAAATCTACAAAATCATATACACTTAGAATACTATATAAGAAAACACAATGTTGTCTGGCTGGATTAGAACCAAACTCATTCTCAGACAAAATCTCACCATGAGCTAATTCTCTAGTCTTGGTCCAAATCTGATGTCACATCTGAATGGCAGCCAATATGGCTGCTTGAAAAACTGTACAAATCTTTTTAAAGCCCAAGGTACATTTTAGAGAATCTCTGCACATCCCTAAACCACTAGATGGCAGCAGCTCAGCTTCAGTAAAAGAAAGAGCAGCCCCCCCCCATTTCTCTCTCTGTGTCTTTACAATGGGAATTTTAACATGTCATTTTCCATGCTCAAAATAAAGAAGTCGGTACTTTTCAGAGAGCAGCTGGCCGCATCAGGCCTATATTATTAGCAAAGGAAAAGACTCTTCCTTAGAATCTGTGCTCTCTAACTCTCAGGAATTTACTGTATAAACTACTGTGCACAACTATTCAAGTGCGCAGGTAACTGATGACCTCATCAGCATCGTACCTCGTTATAGTGTCCTCAGCATCAAAACCTTTACATTTTTTTGGATATGTTAATGTTTTTGGGATGTTTTTCGCAGGTACAGCTAGCACAGATTGTGTTCAAGAAATGTTCAGATCTGCAGGGGTTCAATACCATAGAGGCAACTAGCAATCACAATATGAAATACACTCATCATTACACTTTGACAGTTAGTAAATCATCCTGTGAATGTTCATAGGAATGATGGTAATTTCACCGTATCAGTGTGATACGAAAAACACACATCATCTCATTTCCTTTTTTCAAATGCACATGTGTATGTGTATTGTAGTGTTTTTGTGTGTACGTGCGTGTTTATGTGTGTGTGATTGTGCGTGCGGAGTGTGTGCATGTTTTCAAAAGAGGTGGAAGTGAGCTGTAGTGCTTAAACGAAGAAGCATTGAGGGAGAGGAATCGTACCTTTCCACGTCAAAGGGAAAGCAGAACTTTGGTATCGTCTGAAGGACCTCCTGAGAAACCAGAACAGAGAGAAAGACACACACCTTTTAAGAGAAAGACACATATCAGGGAAAACAAATAATACCTGTGCACTTCAATACGAAAATCTCTTGGGCTTACACTAAGTGGGTGCTATCAACTGGCTAAACAAAATGAGGATTAATGTTAAATGCTGCTGATAGCAATCAGACAAAGTCTTCACATCCCAAACACTGCAGCCTAAATGCACTTAATCCAAATGAATGGGCAATATAAACCCCTTCAATTGGCAGAACACAGTGAAAAGGTTCCCTTTTTTTGCCGAGATTTGGGAGGGATCCTCGATCCACAGCTTGAATAATTAGCAGTTAATAAGTTCATCGATTATCGGGTGCCAAAGGGAGATGAAAAGATAAAGGGAGAGCGAGAAGGAAAGAAAGAAAGAGAGAGAGGAGAGACCGGGGACACAACACTAAGGCGATGGTGGCAGATTGTAGTGACAATGGGCTAAGCAGCTCTGAGGGGTTAAGATGTACAGAGGGGTACAAGCCTCCGGGGCTTTACCTCCCAACACCTCCCTTGTGGGATGGGGGAGTGTAGGGAGGCTGAGGGTCTGCAAGCGAGGTGGGAGGGAAGGGGAGAGGGGGGCAACTTTTCAGCAGCAGCATATGGATTTAGACAGGGAGCAGGGACAGAGTGGAGCACCATATGGGTGAGCCTCTCCAGACCAGAGGAACCTGCTCCCCGCTCTGACTGTGGATACGTCTGTGAATATTTTTTTAATTTATATATATTTTTTGTAATATATGTTATTGACGGTGAGAAACGGCATATCCGTCTCCCTGTTTGTACCACACACACTGATAATAAAGTTGACTTTGACTATGATTATGGATCTATCTGTGGCTCTGTCTGTGGCTCGGCCTGTCTCTCTGTCTGTGGTTCTGTCTGTCTGCCCTCTCACTGGCTGCTAACCTGGCACAGAGCGGTCACCAGGCTCCGGGTCTTTTCCCCCCGTCTGTCTTCCTGCTACCTCTCCCTGTGTTGTGGCCCGGCTCTGCCAGCCTCACACACTAATCCCTGGGAAAGGGTGTCTGTCTGCTCTGGCCTGCCTCGCCGTCTCTCTTTCTCTTGGTCTGCCTGCCAAGCTCGGCCACTGAGCCCAAGGTCTGTCTCTTCTCTCTGAAGGGAGACGTTCGAGCCGAGTGATGCAGCTGCTCCACAACCTCTCACTCTGCCTCCCCCCCAGAGACGGATCCGAACGACAGGTTGGGTGTCTTCGGCTCCATTCTGTGGCTAAGACCTCGCTGTGGGGAGTATGTCACTGATCGCCCCCCCCCTCCTGTGCCCCTCCTTATCAAAACTTAAAGCTGCCACCCCAGCACAACACGACCATCGCCACAGACAAGCCAGCAACAATGAGCTATGACAGAAGGGGGGGCGTGT